TCACACGTCTCCGCTTTTACCAGGACAAGCGAGAGCTACTGAACCTGCGGCCGGGCTGGGCTGACCTGGGTCTTTTACCTTCGGAGGCTGTTAAACAGACGATCGCCATGAAGCACCAAGAATGACCCTTCAGGGCGGCACGGTGACGCAGTGGTCAGCATTACTGCCCCGCAGCGCTGGAGCCCTGGGCGGCTGTCTGTGTGGAGTCTGCATGTTCTCCCCGTGTTCGCGTGGGTCTCCTCCAGGTGCTCTGGTCTCCTCTCACAGTCCAGAGACATGCTGGTGGGTTAATTTGATCCAGGGAAAACTGGCCCTGGGGTGAGGGCGCTTGTTTGTGTCTGGGCGTCGCCCAAAGGGTTTTTGTGAGTCATTAAGAACGAATTCAGACATGCCACCTACTTCCTCTTCAACAACACATTTTTTATTTACTTGACTTCATGAAACCTTATGTTTCAAATGCTTGCCCCGTGCCACGAATGTTCCTGAATGTCAAGATACCGGGAGAAAAAAAAAACAAATTTGTCACAATCAAAACTGTTCGAGCAGCACTATTGAAACACAGGATTTCGTTGAATTGCTTTTGTTCCGAAACTGAAAGTTACATTCAAGACTCGTGAATGCCAGCAGAAAATGTAGATTATAATGACAATCTCGTTCTAGTCCTAATTCTTAACTATCTTTTTCAGAAGTCCTGAAGCTGCGTCTGGCTTCTTCTTCTGCCTGTCTGAGTGTGAGACACTTCCAGAAAGATGAAAAGTTTAGTGAGACTCGTGCTGCTTTCTGCACCGCGGGGTGGAGGGGTGTCCTAACATGTCCTAACATTTCATCTACCTCTCGAAAATTCCGACCGAGCTTGTTTCTCGTATTTGCGGCACGCCCATAAATTCATGCTATTTCTCCGTCTATATTTAATCAAAGGTTAGTATTTTATTTTTTTCATTACTAGTGTGGTTTTTCTTGAACTTTTATTTCATCTGTGATGTTAATTAAACTTTTCTTCAAGCGTATTATACGAAACCAGCTTATTGTTCTTTGGTTTTGTT